ACCGCCTGACTATGACGAGGTACGTATAGCAATAACTCGGCTGAAAAACAACAAAGCCGCTGGAGCTGACAGCCTGCCAGCTGAGCTATTCATGTACGGCGGCGAGGAGTTGATAAGGTGCATGCATCAACTCTTGTGCAGAATATGGCCAGATGAACGCATGCCCGACGACTGGAATTTAAGTGTGCTCTGCCCAATCCACAAGAAAGGTGACCCCGCCATTCGCGCCAACTACCGCGGGATCAGCCTTCTAAGCATAGGTTACAAGGTCTTATCGTGCGTATTGTGTGAAAGACTGAAGCCCACCGTCAATGAACTGATTGGGCCTTATCAGTGTGGCTTTAGACCTGGAAAATCCACCATAGACCAGGTATTCACAATACGCCAAACCTTGGAAAAGACAAGCGAGAAAAGGATCGACACTCACCACCTATTTGTCGACTTTAAAGCCGCTTTTGACAGCACTAAAAGGAGTTGCCTATACGCCGCTATGTCTGAATTTGGCATCCCCTCAAAACTCATACGGCTGTGTAAAATGACGTTGAGCAATACCACCAGCTCCGTCAGAATTGGAAAAGACCTCTCCGAGCCGTTCGCCACAAAACGGGGTTTCAGACAGGGCGACTCCCTTTCATGTGACTTCTTTAATCTGATGTTGGAGAAGATAATAAGAGCTGCAGAACTGAACCGCTCAGGAACAATTTACTATAAGAGCGTGCAATTGCTGGCTTATGCCGATGACATCGACATCATCGCTAACAAAAACCGCGAAGTCTGTTCTGCCTTTTCCAAGTTGGATAGGGAAGCAAAGCGAATGGGTCTGGTGGTAAACGAGGACAAGACGAAGTATCTCCTGTCATCAAACAAACAGTCAGCACATTCGCGCCTTGGCACCCACGTCACTGTTGACAGTTACAATTTCGAGAAAGTAGAGAATTTCGTTTACTTGGGAACCAGCATTAACACCGATAATAATGTCAGCATTGAAATCCAACGTAGAATCACTCTTGCCAACAAGCGCTACTTTGGACTGAGTAGGCAATTCAGGAGTAAAGTCCTCTCTCGACGTACGAAAACCGCGCTCTATAAGTCACTCATCATGCCCGTGCTGGTATATGGCGCAGAAGCATGGACAATGACAACATCCGATGAGGCGGCTCTTGGAGTGTTTCAGAGAAAGATTTTGCGGAAGATTTACGGGCCTTTACGCGTTGGCGACGGCGAGTACCGCAGACGATGGAACGATGAGCTGTATGAGCTTTACAACGATATGGACATAGTAATAGCGAATTAAAATACAGCGGCTCCGCTGGCTTGGTCATGTCGTTCGAATGGACACCGACGCTCCAGCTCTGAAAGTCTTCAACTCGGAACCCGCTGGTGGTAGCAGAGGAAGAGGGAGGCCCCCACTGCGATGGAAAGATCAGGTGGAGAAGGACTTGGCTTCACTTGGCGTTTCCAATTAGCGTCAGTTGGCACAAAGGAGAAATGACTGGTGTGCTTTGCTGAACTCGGCCAAAATCGCTTAGGCGGTTACAGCGCCAAAAAAGAAGAAGAAGAAGAAGTATTCAAAAATTTCCGGCTGAGGAGGTGCATTTGAAATAAATGGTGTGTCATCGCATCGATAACTTATGCAAAT